AAGCCTAGGCTTTAATCTGCAGGGTACTTGGCATCACATTTGGCAGTCTTCATAATTACCAGCATGAGAACCTCAGATCTCACTAAAGGATAATGCTTATAGCACTACTGGAATTTGGATAGCACATGTTGCAATTTTAAATTGAAAAGTGCATCAGTTGTTTAAGATGACTTTCTGACTTGGTTGATGCATTTAACATTTTTCAGCTAATACACCCATGAGACTGCCGGTCACGGTAGCTGAGCGGTCTAAGGCATGCACTGTCTTCACTCGCTCGGAAGCCGAGATCGTGGGTTCAAATCCCACTCAGGGCATGGATGTTTGTGTGCATTTTTCTGTGTTTGTGTACAGGTAGAGGCCTTGCGATGAGCTGATCACCCACCCAAGGAGTCCTACCATATGTCTAAGATCTAGAAAAACCGAAGTGAACGGAGAAGTTCATGGAGGTAGGCCTAGGCCCACTGGGGCTGTAGTGCCAAGGAAAAAAAAAACACCCATGAGAACATTATAGACGTACATAAAAATGTATATACCCTTAAAAGCTGTAATTTGTATATATATAAACCTAACAGCTTGCCATTCTGTTGTTTTTCTCCTCATCTCATTATGTAGAAGTCATCATTATTAGTAGTCACAGATATGAATGTCAGATGACAGTGAGAGGTGCCTATACTTGTCAGCATTGAACTCATGACATTGCTGAAAACATGTTTCCATTGTTGATAGTGTAAATATTCAGTGAAGAAATGATTTAATGGAAAAAGATTGAATCATTGTAGGGGTTGTCTGTGGAAACTGCAGCTAGAGATGGGAATTGTTTGTTATTAAATTTCCATGTTTGAGGTCATTCAGAATAATGTGGTACCTCGTATTAATACAAGGTAAGATTACAGGACATATCCAGTGTATGTTGTTAATGTCAAAATAATATCTGTTACTAAAACTTATAGTGTTTGATAATGTTTATCTTGTATTTGAGGGCCAAGTCACTTAACTTGGTTAACCTGTGATTCAAAGATCTGTTGTTTGCTGGTGACCATGACAGTGATCATTATGGTGGTCTGTTTCCAAGTGACTAAAAGGAGAGATTAGCTTCTACAGACAACATTTGCCAAAAATGTTTCCTCTTTGTAATTGCACCACATGGTGCATATTGCTGTTCTGTCAAGTTTACTGTCTTATTGTAAATGTAACTGTCTTCCCAAAATGTTTCAAGTTATTGAGGTATGGTATTCCTGATGGTTTGTTTTTAACAATTTCTGATCAAAATTTCAATGGGCTTTATGCTAGTCATGACATAAGTTAACAAAAGTATATGGTTGCCCATAAACATATTTAGCAAAAGCAAGACCCTCTTTATTGAATTTGAGCTATATAGTGTTGTTATGTCTATCTTATGCAGTAATATGAAATGTTCTTGTCCGTATGCATACAGAAAACAAACACTGACAAGGGAATGGTCTGATCCAACATGTCGAAAGCTGCCCAGATATTTTTTCACTGCAAGAGTACACACAACAAAATCCACCGTCAAAATTTTAGCTGCTAATATGCACGGCAAGTATTTTTTTAAAAATTGCAAACCTTACTCATGTTTTCTGTATGCAGAACCGCTTGTACCAGAGGTTTGTACAACCCCAGCCTAGGCTGTCAGCCGTGTTGCGTGTTGCATACTGCTCTGCTATGGGTGGACATTTCACCAAGGGTCTGGCAGGCTACAGTATTGGCCATGTTCAGCAATTTTTAAAAAATACCTGCAGTGCGTATTAGCAGCTAAAATTTTGATGGTGGATTTTGTTGTGTGTACTCTTACAGTGAAAAAATTATCAGGACAGGTTTCAACGTGTCGGATCAGACCATTCTCTTGTGAGAAGTGGTGATACATTGGACTTGTAATAACACAAATAGATTTGTGACTATTAACTTCACATAAGTCTCATGGAAGGTGATATTTGGATTCCCTACAAATTGAAATTTCCATCCATGTGAGAGCTAACAAAATGAATGTAGGTTGGATTTAAAAAGAAAAATACTGGAGTGTGCCATCTTCACTTTTTGGTGAAAATGAAGTGATACACTTTTATGATTCTTTGTATTGTTTTGCACTGTCTCCACATACAGTAAACCCTCAATAATCTGGAGTAATTGTGGGGAAGTCCATCTAGATTAAGCAGCAATCTGGATTATTGAAGCAAAAGGTAGCCCTGAAAGGCAAAAAACTTAGAACACAAATAAATGGAAAATTTAATGATGTAAGTAGTGCTGATGGAAAATAAATAACAAAATATCACTGTAGAGCCTTTACTTAAAAACTATAAAAAGACAATAAATTTATTCATCATAGAGGACTCAGAAGTTGTACTTGTTTTTGAATGTAATAATGCAGGTTTGAAGAAACTGTCAAGTTTTGTCTGCACAGACAACTGACTCATCTGCCTTCCTAAATGTCATGTGTCTTCTAAAGTTATGTATTCAACTGTGAACAGCATTTTTCATATTTTGATCCAAATTAACTGTAACTGGATTAATAAGGATTTACTGTACTTCCATGTGTGTGTACCTTACTTGCAAGTGTGAGATTTTAGAATGTGTTTTGTTAAAGTTACATTAAAACTGCAGTTTAAGGTAATTTGAAACCCAGTTTCCTGAGATTCATGTTGATGGACACAGTAAACTCCAGTACTCAGGTGATAGTATGTTGCAACTACACTACTATTAACTTTCACTGTGTGTGTGGTTTAAGGTGAATGAAGAATCAAAGTTAATCTTTATGATTGTTTCTGATGTATTTTATTAATGGGATAAATGCAGAATAAACAAAAGACAATAAAATGTGATATTTTAAGAGTACTGAATGCTGTTGATATATTGTTATAATGGTTCCAAATATATTTGTGAAAATTTGAGTTCTCCAAAATGAAACTGCTCATTAACCAAAATATTATTTGGGTCTAAATGATGCATTCATGTTTGTATATAACTTCTATATATTAAAAATCATTACTAAAAATAACCCAAGGTATAACAGTATTTCAATAAATGACAATATAGGTATGTTGGAAAGCATCATCTGGGCAAACAGTGCTTTAGGGAGATCAGTAAGTGAGCCCTTAATTAACATTGCCACAGCAGAAACTGCATGCGCTGTAAAAGCCTGGCAAATAAAAAGGAGGGGTTGCAGTCACAGATATTTTTATTATTCCACTCGCATCATATTTCAGTTTAGATACACTACCTTATTACCTTACAAAAGGTAAAGCTTTCACTGTAACAGGCCATGGAGGCCCCTAGAGTCATGAGACATCAAGGCTTAGGGTACGGCCTGAGTGCAGCAGGGCGTGAAGCGTTTGGTGGGGCGGGGCGGGGCATGCAGCGTGCATCACAAACCCGTTTGAATATATTGGCATGTCCTGGGACCAAGTGTTTTGATCGGAGCGGGCAGCAGGCAGAGGAGCATGCAGCGTGCAGGTCAAACCAGTTTGTGTTTCAGTAGCGTTTGGGGCGTTTGTAAGATGTCTTTTGAGCATAAAAACGCTGAACACTAGAGGTGCACTGAGGACACAGCAGCAGCCTGCTGCTGTCCCCACCATAAAGTTGCCCATGCCCCGCCACACTCGGACCGTACCCTTACACATTTTTCTAAAGTCAGCCTACAGATGGCAGTGAGGTTGTCAGCCTTGCACACTGGCCATCCTTTACACCCAGGAAGATTCCTGGTACTCATTTCTGTTAGAGGCTGAGTCAACTCCAGGGCCATAGTGCAGCTGGAAAAGTTAGGTCAACTGAAAAATCCAATAACCTTATCAGGAAGCAAACACATTACATTGTGACTTGTAACATAGTGCCTCAACTAACTATGCTACCACATGCCCAACTATAATAAAGGAAAGGATTTTTAATATTTATCATATATGTACCAGTCAATACAACTATCATTGTACAAATCCATACCCCACATCACCTCAGCAACTTTCAGTCCAGCACACACTGGCACTACATATATCCAACAGGATATCCAGGTATGAAACCTTTCTGTTATTACTTACTGATATCAGACATCATATGATAAGCATTAACATACCTTTCTCTTGTTATCCCTGCTGTCCCTGTAACAGGTTTTGAAGGCCCATAGGTTTGTGAGACGTCGAGGCTTCCACATTTTCAGGACAGTCAGCTCACAGATGGCAGTGAGGTTGTCAGCCTTATACACTGACCACCCTTTACCCCTCAGGAATATTCCTAGTACTCATTTTTGTTAGAGGCTGAGTGAACCCCAGGGCCATAGTGCAGCTGGAAGGATTAGGTCAATTGAAAAATCTTATGACATCGTGACTCAAACCTACAACCTTCCAGCTTGTGGCATAGTGCCTCAATCAACTACACTACCGCATGTCCCACCTGAAGACATTTAACAAACAACAACAGCAAAATCATGTCAATCAGAAGATACAACATATAACAAGAAACCCTTTTATCAATAAAACTTAAACATCAATTTGAACCTATTTTATACTTATGGCTGTAACTTAATTTATACTAAGGTCTACAGCAACAGTAAAGCAAGTTCCTTTTAGGGTGGAGCCTCTGAGATGGCCCAGAAGGGCAAAAACATGTCGCGCCATAAGTAGTTGGATTACTTATATTAAACTTGTTTACAGGATGGCTTGTCATTCCAGCAAGATGTCTCATCTCAAACGAAATTAAGCAGCCTCTCCCAAAGGGATGTGACTGCTAAGAGTGCCTGAATCATCAGTATCAGAAATGATGAAACCTTCTGGGACACTGAACATTGTTGGGACTATTTAGAATAGGAAAAGCTAACCACTCAACTCCATTTAGAGTCAAGGTTACAAATGCATATACCTTATTTCCTTGTTGTCTTTAGGGCATGGTGCCTAATACTGCACAGGGACACATCCTCATGGCACAGTGCGTAATTAACCACAAGGACGACTTTTACCTTATTGACTGATTTTATAACATGTTTCTTTCTGCTGCAGGGTAATCTACCATGAACTTGTTCAGACTACAAAAGATTACATGCAAGAAGGAAAGACCATCAATCCGAAGTGGCTAGTGGAATTTGCTCCAACTTTCTTCAAATTCTCAGACCCAACAAAGCTGGGTAAATTTAAGAAGAATCGGTGTCTTGAGCCACTTTACAACAAATATGAAGAGCCAAATGCATTGAGATATGAATATAAAGTGAGCACTTTATCATCGTATTTTGTTTGGAAAGAACAAAAACGATTTTAAATGTTCAGTAACACATGTATTATTACTTAACGTTTATTTTCATAACAGACCTATACAGGATCAGTCTTCTGCAATGATATGTCATGTAGTCTGGTGGATGTGTACGAGTACCAGCAATTTAGAGGAAGATAATGGCAGGTTTCTCAAAAATTTTGGTACATATAACAGCATCACAATCAAGAGAGCATTCTTGATATTTATTGCTGTCAGAACCTCTCATTTCACATCAGTTTCAAGTGATGTGTCTTGCTGAGCTTCTTTTGTCTTTCTTTGAATCATTTTAAAAAATTTTCAGATGTACTCTCTTTTCACTATTTAATCTGTTTTTCTTCTGGAGACTGCACGCAGCTATTGGCTGGATGCCCAGGGAATGAAGTTTTGATTCCTGGCAGGGGTATAAGATTTTTCTCTTCTCCACGGCAACCAGACTGGCTCTAAGGACCACTCAGCCTCATGTTTCCTACCCAGTGAGCATCAGGGCCCTTTCCCTGGGAATAAACTGGTTTGGGCATCAAGTTAGTCTCCATCTTGTGTCAAGATTAGAATGTACAGAGCTGTATACCTCCACTTCCCCATACATGACTCATTGCTTGAGCTATGGCACAGCCAATATTTTATTCTTATCTCAAATTAAACATGATTCATGATAGGTCAATAATGTGATCGGCTAAAATGGTTCTCATTTCAGCCAGTCTCCCATCAAGTTCTCATCAGAGATTGTACGTGTAGGGAAACCAATGGAATGTCAAGTTAACCATTCACCACCACCTAGTGCTGAGGTGAGTGCATGGAGGTCTGTCTCCATGTACCAGTTATTCCATTTTAACAGTGTACTTAAGCACAAAGCATTACTTCTTCCAGACACAATGTTTTATTTTTGCCCATGCAAACCTCACTAATGGTGCAGAAATTTGCCCAAATTCTTCTCAGTCAGTTTCAGCTGGGATTCCAATTTTTTGTGTCTTTTAAATGACAAGTACAGTAAAATGCCATATCCTGCTGTGTAGGATCCCTCATAAGAACTTAAACAAGAGCATTATAAATGAATGGAAGTGTGTGGAATATACCATATATGACATAGAAAGTGTTAATACACATGTAACCTTATCAGTCATCTTATACTGAGGTCTGCAAACATAATAGTCTAAGATGCAGAAATATTGGTAATGGCGCTTTGTACAAAACATTTGAAATGTAGTGTTAATTGACAATAGTACTGTTGCATATTTGCTAGGCAACGCGACAAGATTTCTTGTGGGTTCCCAGATTTGAATGAATATTTTATTGGGCAGTCACTTTTACACTTGTAAGTACAATTATCTCACTTATAATGCCTGTTAGACGTTTCTTCTTCACTATTACAACTTCTTGCACTGCTGATCTTGGTGAAGTCTTCTCTGTATCTCTGTAATCTTTTTGTATCACTGTATTTCAGCTTGTAATCTCTTCATATCACTCTGTATCACAGCTCATTTTAACCTCTTCATATCACTCTGTATCACAGCTCGTTTTAACCTCTTCATATCACTTTGTATCTCTGCTCATTGTAATCTGGTCTCAATTCCTACCTGGTCTTCCCTTATACCCTACCGATGGACAGGCTCGAAGACACCTTGTGCAAGGGTTCCATCTCACGTGTTCTATCTGCCAGGAGCTCATGTTTTTCTCATTGTAGCAGTAACTTCACTAGTTAGTCTCTCATTGGTACGAATTTTCCTAGCTGCTGTCATGCAACTGCCTTGAACAGTTTGTGTGTAATGGTGGAAACTCCACTGTTAGATTGCTAGCCATTGTATAGCAATTGATGTGTTCCGATTCCTAGGCATTGCAGCAGGAATGCTGGTTGTTGCCTAGAAAATCAACCCTGATCTCCTAACCCATGCCAGCTTTCTGGCAGCATGCCACAGTACATAAAGTGGTAACAGATTTTGTATTTTTAAGACAGTGCTGTAAATATGACTTGTATAATTATTTGTAATATATTCCATGTGACCTGTATGTCCAGATAGCAGTTTTATCTTATTTTTAATTAAGAGATGATATTGTACTGTATAAAATGTTTCTGATGTGTACATAATATTTAAAGTTAAACTTCTTTTAGAACCATTTGTGGAGTTCAAATCTCTTTACTGTTATGACCACACACTACAAATATTCTCTTTCAAGTAAGGGAAAAAATACCAGAGTAGTATTATTAGGAACTATTAGCAGAACATTCTGTTTCGTGTAACCATTACCAAGCTGGTTTGTATAGTAGTACTGGGAGGTACCTGGTTTGAATCTCAGACGAGACACCAGCTATCCTGACTTAGGTTCTGTATAGGTTTCTCTAAGTCCCACAGGAAAATTCCAGAGAGTATATCGCTCAATCAGACCATCATGACTTTCTTCCAAATCATGACTCATCAGTCATCCTGCCATTTGAGACAATAGTCCAAACACTTGGTAGATAGTATAGTACAATAAATGACACACATGGTGACCCACATATAAACCACTGGTCTAGAAAATTCCACCCTCAATTTTTGGCTGTATTTTACTCTTCATCATTCTGCTGTTATCTGTCCTGTTTCAGACATGTGATGATTCACTCACAAGGGGCCTAAAGTTAATGAGTATAAATCAGACAATGATTTACCAATGAATATAAAATGTGGCAAGAATATAACACTAGTAGATAACTGGATTACAAAAATTGCTAAAATTGGTTTTCATAAACATGGGAACATACGCTCATATTCTCCACATTCATATACGTTACTCTGCCACACATCTGGATTCACAGACTGAAGGAAATGGTGCACACTGAGAAGTCAAGCACTGCGTCAGTGCTGCCAAGTTTCATGTTAATTAGTAAATTACTGTGTGATTTATAGTTATTAGTTTCGAGGCTGCCCTCGGTGAATCATCCTCTATATCAGTAAGTAGGCCTACAGCACAACTTTCATCTTATGGTGCTTCTAAACTACCTAAAATTCTGGGTTTCTGTCAGATACAGTCAATTTTTTTTCTAATAATGATTTATTTGGCAATAACAATAATAACAGTAATAAATAACAATTAACAATTAACCATGGCTTATATTAAATATGATATGACATATATATGGAGCCTTATGTTTGTTTTTGCATGTTGATGTTTAGAGGTTGTTCACTATGATCTGTCCGTTTGTGATTCTGCCCAGGATGTTGTGTAACCAGTAGTTTTCGAAGGTTTTCATGTCGTTTCTCCAGATACTGTGGTGCATTTCCAGTTGCGGCCGGAAATGCAGTCTCAGTAGGAACATGTGGTGGTAGTTGGCTGCTTGGTGTTTGGTGCTGTTTGCTGTCGCTGCTATGAATGTCTTATAGATTGTGGATTTGGCTAGGACTATTAGGTAGTTTGCAAGTTGATGTGGGGTAGTATGGAGTGAGGGGTAGCGATAAAGTATGTGTTTCTTCTGTATTGTGTGGGGTCCTAGCAGTTTATGAAGTGTTTTTATGAGTTTGTTATGGGGGCAGTCTAGAAACATGTGTTCAGTTGTCCCTGAGGTGCCAGGGCACCAGGGACAGTTCGGTGTATCTTTTTTCTTCCAGTGGTGGAGTTGCTGGGGCACGGTGATTCGGTTATGTAGGATTCTCCAGGCTATATCGCCATCTTTGCTGAGTGTGGGGGGGGTGATATACTGCTTCCCATTTGGGTTTCCCTAAATTCCAGCAGCATTCGCCGTTTACCAAAATGTGTCTATTTAGGTTCAGCTTGAGGAGGTGTTTGTAAACTAGGCGTTTGGGTATCGGGAGCAGAATTAATTGGTTGCTGGATTGTCGGACGACGAAGGTATGGTGGGGTTGGTGGGTCGTGGCTTTGGCCGGTAGGTTGGGATAGTGGTGTTGGAAAAATGTTTCTGCTGTTTTCAGATTGGCTTTCAGTCTGCGGATGGTTGGTTGAGTGCATTGTTCCGTGTTGATATCCTCTATTTTTATCCATTCACCGTTGTCCTTGAGTAGCTCACCTACATAGTTGATGCTTAGTCGGTTCCAGGTCATTTCAAAATTCAAGGTGTGGCCGGAGATGTGTGGGGTTAGGAGTGTGGAATCTTGTATGGGGGTGCTCCTTAGGTTGTCATAGGATTGTAGGTTGGGGTTTTGGATGGGGTTGATGGTGTGCCAGGCCTTCAAGGCGCTAGCGTAGAAGGATGGCATTGCTGAATATTTGGCTGGTTTTAGCCTTAGCTTGAGGATATCCTCTGCTTCTATTGCTGGGGCATATGCTTGGATGTTATGAGCCTGGCAGTGCCATGCGTTCCCTCTGTTATTGTTGGTGATGAATTTGGTTAGGAATGTGATTCTTAGGTTTTGGGTGCGGCTAGGGAGGTGATGGACTCCTATTCCGCCGTCTTCTAGTTTTCCATAAACGAAGTTGGGATGCTTCAGGTGCTGTCCTTGCCATATGAACTGTACCATTAGTTTGTCCATTGTATTCAGAAAGTCGCTGGTGGGTTGTAGTATTGTGATTACATGAGTGAGTTTGGCACTGACTATTTGGTTGAGTGTGCGTTTCCGGTCTTGGAAAGACGTAGTATAGGAGGTTTTCATCCATTGATGAAGTACCGTTCTGGTTTTGGTTTCCAGTTCAGACCAGTTTTGCTGTTGCCATGCTGCTGTGTTTCCAAGGTAGTTTCCAAGGAACTTCCCTCCTTGTGTACTCCATTGGAATCCCAAGGGGTTGTCTGTGCATTTTCTCTAGTTCCCTGCGAATAATCCTGTTGACTTCTGTACGTTGAGTGTGGCACCTGATAGGCCTCCATAGGTCATGAATGTGTGTAGTAGTTGTGGAAAACCTTCGTTTTGGGTGATGAAGACAGTGACGTCATCTGCATATGCAGTGGTGACGAGTGTTCTGTGGACGGTGAAGGGTACTGTGAGTGCATAATTCTGAAGGTTGTTGTTACACATTAGTAGGAAGGGTTCAATGGTTAGAGTGAATAGTGGTCCGGATAGGGGGTCTCCTTGTCGAATTCCTCTGGCATATGGGAAGGGGGCTGTGAGCACACCGCTGATCTTCACTAGCCCTTGGGCATTGTGGTATATTGTGCGTATGTTTTTAATGAAGGTTTTGCCGAATCCGAACTTTTCTAGTACATAGAATATGTATGGGTGTTCGACGCAGTCATACGCGGAGGCTTGATCTAGCAATATGACTGCAAGTGGGAGATCATGTTGGTTGACATAGTCTATGGAGTCCCGGATAAGGTGTAGGTTGGTGTGAATGCTTCTGTTGGGTATACAGTAGCTTTGATTAGAGGTGATGAGTTGGGGGAGCACTGCTGTCAGTCATTTGGTGAGGGCGCGTGTTATTAGCTTGTAGTCAGTGTTCAGTAGGGTGATGGGTCTCCAATTGTCCAGTTGTGCAAGGTCTCCTTTCTTGGGCATGAGGGTGACAATTCCTTTAAGCATGGATGTGGGCAGTTGTTCCTTTTGAAAGCTTGTGTTGGCCACTTGTAGGAGGAAGGGGCTTAGCTCTTTCCAGAATTGCTTATAGAATTCATAGGTGAGCCCATCTAGCCCGGGTGATTTTCCTGGTTTGGAGTTTTGGAGAGCACTTAGTTCATTCAAGGTTAATGGGGCTTCACATTTGTGTCATTCATCTTTGTCTAGGGTTGGTATTTCGGAGAATAGGTCTTCTCTTATGTTGGGGTTGTTTCCTTTTGTGTTGTAGAATTCTCGGTAGTAATTTCGCACTTCTTGCCGGATTCGGTTAGGTTCTGTGATAAGGATGTCTTGTATTTTAAGGGTTTTGAGTTGGGGTGGTGTGTGGGGGGAGGTTTGGTTGGGAAAAATGGGTCGTTGTGTTTTTGGGGGTTTTGTTTTAGGTTGTAGGTCTGTAATATTCGGCGCTTGGCGTCTCGTTGAAATTTTTGTTGCAGCGCCGTTCCTGTTGTATTGAGAACTCGTTCTTCCGTTTCGGTTAGAGTCCGTTTCTTTGTCAGATATTCTATTTGTTGCTCTAGTTCTTCGTATTGCTGCT